TGGGTGGGCTTGAACCACCAACCTTTCAGTTAACAGCCGAACGCGCTAACCGATTGCGCCACAGAGACTTAGTGAAAGGTCACCTACAGTGGTAGAAACGCGGAACTTTGTCTCAAAAGGACTGCTATATGAACCCTAATGTAAGTTTGCTGAGAGAGAGAGACAGAGAGGTAACAGAAACGCCCAAAGTGGGGCTCTAACCCACAACCCTGAGATTAAGAGTCTCATGCCTTACCGACTGAGCTAGCCGAACTGACGAGAAGCCTTTTCAAGAGCTAGACACCATTTACAGTAATACCTTCCCTACCCATGACAATCTTCTGCTAAATCCTGATTTCATCTTGTAACGCTGGACAGAATGTGGCCCAGGATCTATGTCCAGTGCACGTGTTAGCAGTTGCAAGGCAGCAAAATGCCTAATTCGAACCTGGGTGGGCTTGAACCACCAACCTTTCAGTTAACAGCCGAACGCGCTAACGGATTGAGCCACAGCGACTTAGTGAAAGGTCACCTACAGTGGTAAAAACGGGGAACTTTGTCTCAAAAGGTCTGCTATATGAACCCTAATATAAGTTTGCTGAGAGAAAGAGAGAAAAGTAACAGAAACGCCCAACTTGGGGCTCTAACCCACAACCCTGAGATTGAGAGTCTCATACTCTACCGACTGTGCTAGCTGAGCTGTTTCAAGAGCTAGACACCGTTTACAGTAATACCTTCCCGACCCGTGACAATGTTCTACTAAATCCTTATTTCATCTTGTAACGCTGGACAGAATGTGGCCCAGGATATATGCCCAGTGAATATGTTAGCAGTTGCAAGGCAGCAAAGTGCATAATTCGTCAGTGGGTGGGCTTGAATCACCAACCTTTGGGTCATTATATCTTGTTTAATACCCATTTTATTCATTTATACTATTCATTTTATTTATTTACTCATTTATATTAATATGCGAATATGTCTCAATAAATAATAAAAATTTTGCTAATTAGTTGAGTGCTATAGGTCTTACAAAAGCCTTTTATCTAAAAATAGCGTAAAAACTCTTAACTGTACATAAGCTCATTGATCTCTCCATTTTTCTTCTTAAAATAGGTCTCTGGTAATTCATCTTCATCGCCCAACTTTTTTTTTTTTTTTCAATTATTACAATGCAGTCTTTTGGTATTGCTTTTTTCAACTCATGACATTGTCTTTGTAATTTTGCTTTAACAACTCTTTTATACCCATCCTCCACAATTACTTTTAATGGTACAAATCCTTTTATTACTTCATATAATACATCTTTAACTTGTCTTAATCCTCCGTCCCATCATTCCTTAAAATATAAAACATTTCCTTCACTTAAAATTGTTTAATTCAGTAAAAGTGGTTGTTCTAGAATCTGTGCCCTTGCTTTTGGTATAATCAACACATTTTCTAAAAATCCCCCTCATGATTCTAAGACCTCAACATAAAATTTTGGCAGACCTGCTATCATCCGTTTCTTCATCTTCATCAATAAAACATTACATCCCATATTAAAATGTCCACATTTCTTCAAATAATAATCCAACACACTTTTCCAAATCACACCCATTTTCCCTTCCAAAAACCTTTGAATAATCTTAATTGTTAATGTTTTCATTTTTAAAAAACTATCCAAAAGTCCCAGACCTCCTTCTTTTACCTCCCCAATCAAAGTATAATAAGCAATCTTGGCTCTTCCATTTCCCCACAAAAACTTTAAAACTACATCATTTATTTTTTCATAGTATACTTCAGGCAACGCAGTTACACTTAACACATACCAGACCTTTGACAACATTAAAGCATTTAAGATTAATACTTTCCTTTTAACGTCAAATTTCTAGCTTTCCAAAATCTCAGTCTTTTCTCAATTCCATTTAAAACTCTCTCCCAATTTAAAATATATGCTTTATTAAAATTCATCCCCACCCAAATTGCCAACATTTTTGTATGTTCCTTTTCTTCTTTAAAGGGCATATGTTGTGTTATTTCTTTTACTTTTCCCACCCTCATGCATAAACTTTTTCCAACATTAACCTTAGCTCCTGATGCTTTACAATATCGCTCTAAAATCCCCAACGATGTAGAATCATCAGCGTATTGATACACAGCTTCTCTGTTGTCATTGTTTTCTATTTGTATCCCTTTAATGCTTCTATCTGATTTTATTGCCAATCCCAGTGGCTCAGCTTCCAGTGTGTATAATAAAGACAATGGACATCCTTGCCTTATTGATCTAGTTGGTTGAAGACATTCTGTTAAAAAAATACATTTAATACAAGTTAAAATATCTGTATAAAAAAATTTGAATCCATTTTCTAAAATTTTCCCCAAAACCAAACTCCTTAAGAACTGCAAATAAAAAATCATGCTCTACCCTGTCAAAAGCCTTCTCCAAATCTAAACCTATTAAACCCCCCCCCTTTCTCTTTTTCTTGCATATAGTAGACAATTTAGCTTACCCAATTCAACTGTACCGCATTTTTTTTCGATTGTGGGGAAAACCAGAGCACCCAGAGAAAACCCACGCGAACACTGGGAGAACATGCAAACTCCACACAGAAATGCCAACTGACCAGCGCACAGTACTGTGTGTGTGTGTGTGTGTGTATGTATACATATATTGCATAAACTTTTCTAATATATTTGTTTTTGTTTTATTATTAATTTAATTTGTATTTATTTACGGAAAATACAAGTGTCATTACTATACGCAATTTTTTTCCCTATATTTGTGTCTGCCTATTATTGTAATTGTATTACTTCTTCCTTGTTTATGCATGTAATGCCTACTTGGTTTGCATATTTTTTGAACATTTAATAAAAATAAATAAATTAATAAAAACATAAAAATAAGATGTAGTGTATAATCCCAAATCTTATTTTAAAAAAGTTGGTGGTATGGAGTTTCTTTTAAAGTGTGACTTTAAGATTCATAAACTCATATTAGGCTAAAAAAAGTTTCCTCTTTCTCTTTTCTTCTGGAGAAAGTCTTATTTGTTTTATTTCAGCTCGAATAAAAGCTGTTTTTTATTCTAAACTTTATACTTAAACCATTTTAAAGACAAAACCATTAGCCCCTTTAAGCTATTTTTTCCCCAATAGTCTACAGAACAAACCATCCTTATACAATAACTTGTCTAATTTATTGTCATCATGGCAAACATAAAATAAATCAGTTATTAGAGATTAGTTATTAAAACTATTATGTTTAAAAATGTGCTGAAAAAATCTTATCTCCATTAAACAGAAAAATAAACTTTTTTTTTTACTTGTTCAAACTACTTAATTAAAATGTGCTGAAATAACACAACTCTTGAGATTTCATTGGGACAACTTAATGTTCAGTCCACATACATTTATTAAAAGTGTTAAGTTAACTTAATTTGTGTTGCGACAACATGAAAGAATTGTATGGAACTCTGCACAAATATGGTGATCGGTTCATAATAAGTTGAAGCACATTTTCAGATTTTGCCTTACTTGGCTTAACCGTTCTTGGGTGGCTCGCCAATGTATAGATAACTCGAATACATCAAATAAGTAAGCTGACCAAAGTTCTTAAAGGGAGAAGACTTTATTGTAGACAATTAATTGTGCAGTTCATCAGCAGTGATGTTAACTTGTCCGTCTTCAAGTAACTTAAACCAAAGTACTGTCTGTGAGACACTAATTTATAACAAAGGATGAAACCCCCCTGGAGATTACCCAACTGCTTTGGTTGGGTCACATCTCTTGAGTTCCTGTAGGTCATTTGGCTCACACCCTATCAGAAGCAGATACTTGTTACATATGAAACAAGCCAATACAATCTATTAACATATAGAGTTATTTTGCCTTCTTGCAGCTCGATATTAACTCTCACAACCTGGTACCGGGCTGTGACCCCTGAACTACACTACAAAACAGCTGGCAAATCTTCACCCCTCTTCAGTTGAGTTTAAATTTTCAGGTGTTCAAAGGGTTTCATTATCAGTAACTTGATATGCATTCAAGAGTTCACACTTGTTTGGCATGCTATCCCGGGAGAGATCTAAGCTCATAAGATCCTCGAGCCCTGGGCTCCCTCCCGTTAGCAGGACAAGAGGGGAGTGTGGGCTCAGGTAGATCTCGATGAACTCCCCAGACTTCTTTCTATTCTAATGACAGATATAGGGTCGGCTAAAGGGAGATATAAGGCTTACTAAGAGCTCGACTATGGTGCCAATTTAATGTTCAGTTTACTTAGGTTGTGTGTTTTTGGACTGGGAGAAAACCAGGGGAAACCCACGCGAGCACAGGGAGAATGAGCAAACTCTGCACAAAAATGTCAACTGGTTAGTAGGGACTTTAACCTGCGACATTCTTACTGTGAGGCAACTGTGCTAACCACTGGCTAATTATTGGCTGCCGTGTTGCCCAATCTTGAAAGGGGGGGAAGTAAGGGTGGGAGAGGGATTCTTCAAGACAAAGATAACTGAGTTAAGCTACGGTCACACTGGGCTTTTCCTCCCATAGACTTGCATTCATACGCACGTGAATGCGTCAGACCAAAAACACAGGGTCATGCGTAAAGTTTCGCAGGTTGCTGAAGTGCAAAGTTCATGCTTGGTGAACTCTGACCTGCGAAATCGCATCACTTGACTGCGTGAGACCAATCGAGGATCAAAACATGACCTCTCTGGACAGAAGTTTAAACCATGGAGCAATTGCTCTTTTTTTTATTTCTAAAAATCTTGTTTGATCCCGCCCCTTTTCACAGAGCCGTACAACCGTATTTCACAAGCTCAAACTCTAGTGTGACCGCAGCTTTAAGAAACTCTTGTTATTCATAGTGAGTTAGGAATCATCTGTTTGGTGAATCATGTTTTAGCTAATGCTGGACCAGCCGTGGACAATCATAAGCATGTGATCCCCTCGAAAGTAGTTTATAAATAAACTTCACTTTAATGAACAGCCAAACTACGTGACAAAGCTGCCGTTTTGAATATACCCGTGTTTGTGTGGACAAGGGCTTAATGTTGAGGACTCTGCTCTCCATTGTGAAGCTTCACGTGAGTGTTGAGGCTTCTTTTACTTTTAAAGCCCTTTCCACACTCACTGCATCTAAAACGATCCTCTCTTGAGTGAGTCTTCATGTGTTGCTTAATGGTGTCTTTCCGTGTGAGACTTTTTCCACACTGATCACATGTGAACACTATGGTTCCAGTGTGACCATTCATGTGGTTCTTGAGGCTAAATTTGGTTGTGAAGCTCTTTCCACACTGAGCACATGCAAACGGCTTCTCTCCAGTGTGAATTCTCATGTGGTGATTGAGTGTGTTTTTATGTGGGAAATTTTTACCACACTCTGTGCATGTGTAAGGTTTCTCTCCAGTATGAATCCTCATGTGGATGTAAAGGTCTTGTTTTTTACCTAAACTCTTTCCACACTGTTCGCAGGTGTATGGTTTCTCCCTAGTGTGAACTCTCATGTGAGCAATCAGGTTCAGCTTTGTACTAAAATTCTTTCTACACTGTTTACAGCTGAAAGGCTTCTCTCCAGTATGAGTTCTATTGTGCACTGCCAAGTTTCTTGCATGACGGAAGCTTTTTCCACACTGTTGGCATGTGTACGGTCTCTCTCCAGTGTGAATTGTCATGTGGGCTTTAAAGCTTCGTTTTTGACTAAAACTCTTTCCACACTGTTCGCAGGTGTAAGGTTTCTCCCCTGTGTGAACTCTCATGTGAACATAAAGGTTTGACTTTTGACTGAAACTCTTTCCACACTGTTTACACCTGAAAGGCTTCTCCCCAGTGTGAATTCTCATGTGTGCTGCAAAGTGTCCAGCATGATAAAAGCTTTTTCCACACAGTTGGCATGTGTACAACCTTTCTCTAGTGTGAATTCTCATGTGGGATTTAAAGCTTTGTTTTTGACCAAAACTCTTTCCACACTGTTCGCAGGTAAAAGGTTGCTCCCTAGTGTGAACTCTCATGTGAACATCAAGCTTTGACTTCTGACTGAAACTCTTACTACACTGTTTACAGCTGAAATTACACCCCAATTTGGATTTCCGAGGTCTTCCGTGTGATGAAGTCTTTTTAGTCAGTGTGGGTTTTTTATCAGTCGTTATTTCTTGGGGTTTCTCAAACTGCTGCTTCTCATCTATTTCATTCTGTTGATGAGTCTCTTCTTTCAGCACCATCAAATCTAAAAAAAAAAAAGTTAGCTTTAGTATGAAGACTCAAAGCCACAAGCAAGAAATGGATGTTTTCACCCAAATATTAAAATGAACTTACCATTTACTCTCCGTCATGTGGTTTGAAACTTTGCTTTATTGTGGAACACAGTAAACCAGTAGCGTTTTTTTTTTTATATCTTCTTTTGTGTTTAACATGATCAAGAAACTCATAAAGGTTTAAAACCACACGAGGAAGAGTAAATGGTGAGGCTATTTTCATTTCTGCATCAACTATCCCTTTAAAAGGTTCCTACAATTACCCATTTTTTCCATGATGTAAAATAAGTCTTTGGTGTTCCCAGAATGTGTCTGAGGTTTCAGCTCAAAATTCGATCATGTACCTTGTAGAATATTTAATTTTGGGGGTCAGAGGAAAACCAAGCTCTTTTTGTGCCTGTGGCTTTAAATGCAAATAACCAAATGCACTCGCTCTAGATTACTCGTGTTGTTTCCTCGATTGAGATAAATTCTGCATGTTCATAGCAAGTATGCATAATTCACGCTTATATTTGCAAGTTTGAATTATTGTATAAAACTTATGCAAATGCTTAATGCCACGTTTGCTTTAAACTGGAGTAATGAGGAGATGGCAAGATGACATGCTTTGCTACTTGTTTCCATTTATTTGTACTTTTGTTTTTGTTTTCTTGTCTTTGTGCATGTCCTGAGGCTTAGCTGAAGACCTACTTGGTGACATTGTATATACCTGACAAGATGCAGAAATGCCATCTAAAAAGGTTACTTGCGGTTTGTCCAATATACAAATATAAATATACAAAATAATAATGATAACCCAGGGTTTACGAATGTGAAATGTCTGTTAATGAACATCCAGGATTATTTTTTAACCCCAGGTATAGCATGAGCAGTGTGGAAGGTGACTACTGATAACCCAGAATTTATCCAGGGTTAGAATGACCCAGGGGTAACAATTTGAAGTGTGAAAAGCCCTAAGAATACTCAGCATCAGCTCTCAGGATAAACAGAGTATAATGACAAACAGCGACAATTGTCAATCATGTCATGATGACCTGGGGCCTGTTTCAGTAAGGAGGTTCAACCAACTCAGAGTTTAAACTTGAACTCTGAGTTGATTTACAGAGAGATTAAATACTAAGAGTTTTCAATTTCAGAAAAACATTTGAGCTACAAAAGTCTTTCAGTCAAGAGCAGTGAGGGATTTTCTCCTTTTGTTGTTTGATTAATGCTAAAAACATTCGGCAGCAGGAATATTGCGCACTGTCACTTTAAGAATAGTGCGGCTTTGATATGGTTTTACTTTCACATGTCTTTTGACTCTCAACTTATTTATTTGTATACACAAATGAGGGTTAATATAAATAATCACTAAACACAACACAAATTTGCATGTATCTGACATAATCGCTCACATTAAGATGGGATTAGATGTGTGTTCTCTGCTTGTCTCCGAGCCTGTCCAATGCTAAGCGCGGTGCACACACAGAGCATGTGCACTTACGCACTTTTAAAAATAGGAATGATGCGTGTCCCGTTCTGCAAAAGCTACAATACAGCACATGCTTTTAGTCATTTTCACGTGGAACTGAGCTTTGCAGAGCAACAAGTGTGTACAACTGGAAAGGGTGTGGTATATGATGAAATAATCGTTTATCTCGATTAATGGTTTTTCATAATCATTAGAAGCCAAAATTGAAATTGAAACCAGATTTTCGATTAATTGCACAGCCCTATCAAGTGGTAGAGGTTGATATGACATTTAGAATGTTAGCAGGACTAAAAAATCTTTTTAGAACTAGTAATAATCCCATTAATCTAGTTACAATACATGTCCGTCAAAGGTTAGTGAATTTAAGCTAATTATTCATTAAGAAAGGACAAGCCATTCTGCTATCTGACTTTGTTATTTGTGTAACTGAAACGTAGGCAATAGCTATGCTTCCATCCAAAAATGCAAATTAAATTTATGCGCAAAACTGGGATGTCACATAAAAGATGTGCGAATAAAGCTGCGTTTCCATTCAATGAATCAAAGAGAACAAAATCGTCTCTTCCTGATTAACAGCCCCCAAATATGAACAGTAAAAACAGAATTTCGTGCAGTACAAGAAGCTACATGAATCTTTTCTTTATTTAAATGACTTTCAGCTCAGAGGACAATGCTGGCACACAATGAACACGTGTTGGCGTTTGAAGCAATGAGACGCAGAGAACAGATGCTCTGGAGGTCATTAATAATATAATAACATTAATATTGAAATGGTCCATGCGTTTTAGAATGACCAAAGCAACATTTCAGATGTTTATAATGTTCTCAGCCTGCTGGTTTGTGCATTCACACACATTTTCATCATCATATGATCTCTTATAACAAACCTTTTTAAACACACATACTGGAATTTGTTCAGTAAAAGTGCTTGCGTTGTTTACGTAAGCTTATCTTCTCTTATCAAATAAAAAGTTTGTCCTACTCAGTTATGCACATGTTTTTTTATGCTTATTTTTCAAAAGTTATGTGCATCATGGCATTAACATCAACCAATTTTTTTATCCTCATAGCCTACCCAAAATGCATATAAAAATAGGTGGCTGGAAATGTACGGCTAAGCGAGAAATACCGCTTTATCTTTTAAAAAGGGGAGGAGACCGACAGAAAACTCTCTTTTAGAGACAGGCTTGACTTACCCTGCTCTCTCGAATTTGACAAACCTGCAATTTTGAAACGGAAAACCTAGAGTTTCTCTCATTTCAGGGTTAAAATACTTTACACTTATCCTTCTTTCTAGAACAGGGCCCCAATCTCATATGCTATTGTTTTGCAACTTCAGTTGCCTATTGGAGAAATGACCAGAAATAATAAACGTCAGAAAATGGTCACACTACTTGCTCTGCAAACAAGTGTGTTCATGTCTGTACAAAGAAAAATAAACTAAGAAAATATGACGTTGCAACATCAAGCAGCAATAGGCATGGGCCAGTATAAGACTCGGCTTCATGGTACTGTGATTACTGCTCTAAAATATATTATTTTAAATGTCTGGGTAAAAAACAAACACTTTTTCCTCTTTGAACACAAAACATTTTCTTTTGAGAAACTTATAATATATTTTACAGCAGTAAACATGTCAGGCTAAATCATTCAATTAAATCCTTGACTTCTGCTGTCTTCATTTGTTTCATAAACACAGATTTCTTTACAATTTGAAACAACATCTTTGGAGATCTTTTCTGCTGGAGATACTGTTGCCCTGAAAAACTTAAAACAAAATGTTAAAAACAAAACCTTACATATACCGATTAATGGTACAGCAGAAAATATTGGCAGTTTTAAAACCTTGACTTTGTTCAAACTGCATTATACTTTGAAAATGGTTATTGGCCCATGCCTCAGCAGCACAACACTGTTTTTAGGATCTAAAAATGTATTCTTTAAAAAAAGTCTCAAGCAAAAAGATTCTAATGGCGCCGCCTGCTGGTACATGAAGAATATGGTCAATACTGACGAACTTTACACTCAAATGTTTGCATATCATCAGCATGCTGTAATCCATTTCTTAAACAAAAAAAGTCATTTTTAGACTAGTTTGTTGTAATTTTATACGTTTAATGATACAATAATAAATTAATAATAATGCTAAAATATTTTAGATATTTCTTAGCAAAAAATCTTAAATATTGCGTAAAAACAAGAGAGCTTGACTAGGATCCACACACTTTTTTCCAAAATAAACTTTCTTTAAAATATAAAACAAATGAACAAAAGTTTTAAAAACTATAATAATATAAATCTATGCACAACAATCTGTCCAGGTCGATGTCCTCAGCAGTAAATACATGGAACACGTTTAAACAAATGAAGCATGAAAATAATTAAACTATTATGATAAATACAGTTAAAATGATCTTTTTGAATGAAAAGTTTAAAGATTTATTGATATGGATTGATGGTGATTGTATGAGTTTTGGCCAGATTGGGTAACAAAACATGAACAAAGGAAAATGAAGACTTGTTTAAAAAGATTTAAGACCTATAACACAATATTTCAGTAAATTTAAGACTTTTTAAGGCCTAAAATTCTAGGTTTTCGAATTTAAGACATTTTAAGACCCTGCGGGTATTAAATAGATCATATCTGTGAGAACTAATAACAACTACTAAAAACAAGTTTAAACCCATAAAGAAATTGATGAAAAAAGGGAATTGTGATCAACGTGACATATGCAAATGGGAAGTACTAAGCCAACACTATCACTGTAATAGCAGATATCTTCTATGAGAATACTGTAGGTCAAATATCATCAGCTCAGTTAAACTTTTTAAATTTATTGTTTTTATTTACTTTATTTAGCGCCAGTGCTCAAGGACGCTTTACAAATAGTAGGAGAATAAGAAAAGCAATAAACTTAAGAAGGTAGATAAAATAGGAGACTAATAATACATAAAATAATGACAAAAGACATGAAAACAAGTGGTGAAAGAAACTCATTCCTGTCTTTTAATGAGTGCTTATGTGCATTTAGGAGAACTAGGCAGCACACTCAGGGCTGCAAGATGGATTTTGAGAATGAAAACCAACCTGTTTGTTCCTGCAGATCTTCCTGTTTGACTGTGAATGTTTCTTCAATCTTCACATCTTCACTCTCCTCTTTAATAAACGCCATCTTTATAACAGTGTGGAGATCAGTCGCTTCAGCAGGAGTTTTTTTCTGTGTTTGGACACTTTATCCTGTTTAAAATAAAAAAACAATAAAAATGTCCTGTTTAAAATAAATAAAACAATGAACAGAAACAAAATAACTTCTCTTCAACACTTGCTTCAACAGTTTCTTTATATAAGAGTGATTAACAAAAAGAAATTAGTTAAGTCTGAGCAAAAAACAATAGCCACAAAAGAGACGATTAAGACCAGTACTTCATTTCTTATATATAGTTATGTTTACTTCGAATAGAATTACATTATGCTATTTAATAAATTAAACCTTCATTAAAACACTTATTACACACTTTACTGTTGCTTTATTCAAACTTTAACAAATGTTAATTATTTTGTTTGTTTTATTTATTTTATTGTCTGCTTACAGCAACGTTGTCACTCTTTTGCACAAGACAAGAATTTCCTCTCCGGGACAAATAAAGTTTATCCTATCTTATTCAAACAATAGACCTTACTGTGAGTAAAATAATACTTTGTTGTATAAAGGGTTAAAATAATATTGTCAACAGCAGGTACATCTAGCATTAAACGAACAACCTGAAATTTTAATCAGTCGGTTTACATCTGTGTAAAAGCTTTAAAACAAACCTTTCTCCAGTTGAATCATAGTACGGGAGTGGGGCAGCCTAATGATGTCACACCACCACGCCAAAATAAGTCTTTTTTAAAGCTTTTTCTCTTACTTACTCTTAGTCATGACTTATTGATACATTTCTCCCTTGTTTTCCACTTTTTACTTTATCTGCTTTCTGTTTTGTATTTGTAAGACCATCACTACTTATGTTAATTGAATAAACCCATTTACCCCCACTTGATCTTTGCCTTCAGGTAGGTTGGTAAGTGGTTGCATTTTCTTTAAACGATTGCATTTGTTCATCCGTAGCTTTAACCCACATTCACTTGCATTCACTGATGTTGCCACCTCTTTGTATGTTTGAATGGGGAAACATCAAATTCTCCAAAATTGACTGCCAGGTTCCAACTTATATAATAGGTTGAAGCTTATTTGGGCTACAGTCCATTTGTCAGGATAAAAACAATATTTATAACCAAATAAACAAACAAACAAAAAAGAAGCTTTTAAAAGTTACTGAAGAACTTAATACACTGTTGAACAGTGCATCCACGCATGTTTAGATTTTACATTTTATAATGTTATCAATCAGATATTATTTGAGTGTAAATTCAGAATGTGCAATTTACCTTTTCCGTCTTCAATGAAGAAGTGGGATGAAAAAAAATGTCCTCAGTGGGTTTTTCTTTGTAGGTTGTTGTTGGTAATAATCCCAATGTAGGAATCTACAATCGTAGTTTGTCCTCCAAAGTTGTTCTCTTTACTTAGCAAAATAAGCCAATGAAGATTCTCTTAGGAACCCAGAATATAAAGATATCACCTTGCTGAGCTACAGGATCTGGAATGTGATTGGATAAGACTCAATTGGCCTCCATTAATGCTGGTATAAATATGCAAATGAGCAGTGGGGAGCAGTGAAGACTCAAGCCACATACTGTGGAGGATGGGAAGTCCAACAGCTTTATAAACCAGTTTTTACAGAGAAATAATGATGTATTGGGAAAATGAGTTGACTTTAGCCATCGTCATTTGTTTTGTTGCTGTTGTTTTGTAATTCTATTGATTGAAGCGTTTTTGGCTGCTGCATTTTGTAGTTAATGTTGATACATTTATGTTGAGGTATTTTGATTTGAAACACATTTCAATTTATTTTTCCCAAGCCTGGTTAAAAGGTAATGCAAGAGTTGTGTGTTGTTTTTTTAGAAGCTTCTCAGAGTTTTGTGTAAAGATGCAAATGAGCACAAGCCACACTCATGTCTCAATACACACAACTACATTCACTTATATAATAGTTATATAATAGTTTTCTTATACTATTATACTGTAATATTTTATCATTCGTTGAAAGAAACAATTTCTAAACTTATCAGTGAGGTTTTATTTGTGTTAGGTTCAGTTAATATATTGACATGAGCTAACCATTTATTTATCACTGAACTTGTTCTTTATGTGAGTTTAGAGTCCTTTATTTCTCCTAAAGCACATGCAGCTTATTACTGGCTTCTGTAAGACAGTCAACACACTCTTAATAGGTCAATTATTTCTTTCCAAAAGTGTCTATAGATTTTAACAATCAAAATATAACTTGTTTCTTTGCCAATTTAGTTTTCTTTCCTTCGTCTTTTAGTTGAACAGAACATGTGTGAGCAGCTCAGCTTTCTCGAAAGCCTCTTATTCACCTGATAGGTAACAAAGATGTTTTTCCCTCAATTTATCATTTGTGTTTGTGCATACATATGCATAGACATTTACAAAAGCATATATACGATACCCTGTGACAAAAGCTTTTGCTTTTAACACAGTAAAGCTATCACATACTGTCGATTTTTTTTAAAATATGTCATGCATCTAAATATTTATAATCACAAAATAATTACATCACAAGGTAATTTATTGTACAGACAGTTTATACAAGATAATTCAATGACAAGAGTTCACTTTCATAACTACACAATGCAGAACTTTTAATGTGATTAACCTGCTCCACCTACACCAACTACAGCATTTCTCAGACTTCTGTTTCACTATGGTGTAATCACAGTGGTGAACATCACATAAAACAACAACAGCACTTACTCCTGTAACTTGTTTGCAACAATGACATTTAAATATCTGTGTCACATATTCATGTAAATAAATGGCTCATCATTGTGTGCGGTCATCTTTATTAATAGCTGCCTGATCTTTAATTGAATAGGGTCGTTTTACATATAAGAAACCTGTTAACAGGTATAGCTGTTAATGCCAATACCAACTTGATAGCCTAAAGCAAATTACATGAACAAGACCTGCCTTATATCTCTTGGGACAGTGGATCTCAAACTGTGATACGTGTACCACTAGTGGTACGCAGGCTTCCTTCTAATGGTACGCAGAGGAATGAAATATGTCAAGTACATGCTACACACATTTCAAAATATATCAAAAATTATGTATTTAATATGCCATATATGACATATAGCCCATATTTCTGAGGTAATCTGCCACGTTTTTTATCTGTGCAGAGTTGTAGCTGCTTTACTAGGCCTACTAGGCTACTGTATTTCAATACTGCTCATTTTGCTGGTTCTTGGAGAGACAATGTTTTTCTGAGGTGTTACTTGATGAATAATGTTTGAGAACCACTGTCTTAGGACAAATAATCATAGGTGTCTATAACAACACATGCTTGATTGCCCAGATCATTACAATCAGTACATCTGAATGGTGCCTTTTAGTAAGCATAGTTCTTCACGAATACCAGTTTAATACTTTATATAATTACACATGTGAAGCATCACAGTGGTGCAGTGGGTAGCACAATCGCTTGACAGCAAGAAGGTCGCTGGTTCGAGCCTCAGCTGTGTCAGTTGGCATTTTTGTGTGGAGTTTGCATGTTCTCCCCGTGTGAGATTTCCTCCAGGTGCTCTGGTTTCCCCAAAGTCCATAGATGTGGTATGCATGCGGTGTGTGTGAATGAGTGTGCATGTTTCCCAGTAATGGGTTGCAGCTGGAAGGGCATCTGCTGCGTAAAGCATGTGCTGGATAAGTTGGTGGTTCCTTCCACTATGGTGACCCCAGATTAATAAAGGGACTGAGCTGTAAAGCAAATGAATAAATATATATGAGTAATATATCACACGAGGAGCAGTGTGATGTGGCCTTCTATCAGTTTTTTGTATTTCTGTTTGTTGTATCGGCCTGTTGTTATTGCAATAATAAAAAAATGAATCTTTTTTTTTTTTAAAGTGTGATGTGGCTGTAGATGAGCACTGGTGGAAGGCATGTGTTATAGTGTACACTAGGCACTCGAGAACGATTGTCCCTCTACCTGTTGTTTCAATCCCCTGATAACTTTGTTCATCTTCAGAGCTCCTTCATCTGTTATAGACAGCAAGAGTCCCGAAATGCTCAAAGTCCCGAAAAGGAACCAAAAACATTGTCAAAACATGTGACGTGACTTTAGTGGTTCAATTGTAATCAAGTTCCAAGAACATTTTGTGTGCAAGAAAATGTAGAAAAAAGCAGCCATGTCCAAAGTAGGAACTGTTGAAGCATATAGTGGCTGTTTTTGCCTCTGTATTCTCTTAATTGAAAATTAAGTCTCTTAATATGAAAAACAGATTTGGAACAAGTAGAGGATGAGTAAATGACAGAATTGTGATTTTTATGTGAACCGCTTTTAATGCTTCTGTAAGTAAAGGTAAATTAAATATTATTACTGAAGATATTGCTAAAGAATGGCAGGAAGCGTGGAACACAGATAATAAGAGACAACAATTCATGTGGAAAAGAAAAGAAAGTCTATATAGGCCTATGAAGATGTAGAAATAGAAAAGAAGAGGTCATAATTATGAGGATGAGATTTGGACTTAGATATTAATAGGAAAGTAATGTGTTGTAGACATACAAGTCATCATAAAGTGGATTTAAAAAGTTAAGAAAATGTTTAGATTTAAGGTTTGAGTGTGAGAGAGCAAATATAGTGTAAAGTGAAAACTATGGGAGAAATGTATCAAAACGTCATGACTGCAACTGTAAGTGGCAAAAAAGCTAAACAAAAAGACTTTTATTTTGGCGTGGCGTGTGACGTCATCAGGTGGCGCCGCTTTAGTGCTGTAATTCAACTGGAGAAAGGTTTGTTTTAAAATGTTTACACAGATATAAACCGATTTAAAGTTAAAGTTCTAAAGTTTTAGGTTTTTTATGCGATGCTAAATTATGTTCCTGCTGTTGGAAATATTACTTTAACCCTTTATACAACTATTTTAGTATTTTAGTTGTACTATTTTATTCTCAGTAACTGAAGGCTGTTGTTTGAATAAAACAACAGAAAAGTGTATAATAAGTGTTTTAATTAAATGTTTCAACTGATTTATTTTTGTTAATTACTC